CGTCCTTTTAGCCAATCCGTAGACTTCCTTCAGAGTAATATCTGCACCCACGCCATACACTGTGTTCCGCACCACATTCCGCAGATCTTCATCTAAGCCTCGGACGAACTTGCGAACCAGTAGCCGTTCGTCCCGGCTTTCCAGATCATCCGCAAGCTCCCTCAGTCGGCAGTAGTAGGCTAGCAAGGACTCGTCCTTTCCTCGGCGAAACTCGCGGAATTCCTCGACTCTCGCTTTAGTTTGCCCCAGAAATTCCTTCTTCAGCAGCTCGACAAACCGCGCGGTCGGGTTTCCGATCTCTCCGCAAGCCAGCTCCTCGAGCACTTCGTCCCGCGTCAGGCGATAAAAGGTCTCGGCCTCGCCCGCTAGCGTTACTACCATCCGCCGGAAGAATTCGGCCGGGTCCAGTCCGTCCCGTTCCCAACAGTACTGCACCGTCTCCAACTGCATCAGATAATTCTTCAGGGTGGGACCCACGCCGGGAATTCCGGTGAACCGCTCGGCTACCTCCAGCTTCGGAAGGGATCCTGTCTGCCATCTCTTGTCGGTAGGCCGGTCTAGTGGGGCGGCTGTTGAGGGTAGCTCCGCAGCTTGACTCGCTATCATCTCTCGATGCGTCGGCGACCGGAACTCTCCCTCCGTCTGGCGCCGCAGCCAAGTCGTCTGTGCCTGCACTCGGTCGGATTCCATCCCCGGCATCAACCCAGGGGAGTTAGTAGTTGGGCGGCTCTCCCACCGTGCTCTCGCTTCTCGAGCCCAGCGCAATTCGTGAGGTGTCTCTCCTGGATCCGACGCGACAGTCCTCGAAGGCTCCATGTCTTCGCGCCGCCCTCGTTCCCGTTGGTGCGGGGTCCGGTACGCTCCTGTAGTCGAAGCTGGCGAGCGCCTTGTCTCCACCGCTGCCACTCGGTCCGAAGAGGTCGCCGCGGCGGCGCGCCAGCTTGGTTCCGCCGAAATATCTTCTCTTCGGTAGCTCTGCCCGGATCTTAGTCTAAACCTATCGTTCATCCTAGCTTGAGAACAGTGATCGATTACTACCCTTGCTTGTATGTTGTAAGCTCCTAGCACATTGGACTCTCTCTGGGTCTTCCTAACTCGGCTGACTGCCGAATTAACTGAGTGGAAACCCTCAAAAGGCTTGCTGGGATTGGCTCCTCCACTGGGCGCAGTACGAGTAGTGTTGTAGGTAGCTCTTAGCTGATAGAGGAAACATACAAGCAAGCAAATGATACTTCTCGTGTTGCTTGCCTAAGTACGTGCACTTGGTTACCGTTGCACGGCACGGTTGGTTTTGTTTCGTCAGTTCCCGCTCTGGCGCTATTCGCCTCTGCCTAACCCCGCTTGAATCCTACTCACTACAGTACCCTGTCATGCATTTATATTGTTATGCCCTACTCACTATTCTTCAATTAAATGTATGACAAACCCCAAGAGCCAAGGTACAGTGATGTGGAACAGTGCCACACTTTCCCCAACCACGAAGGGTCTCGAAAATACCCTTCACTAGGGCCTACACCAAGTGAAATGTTACACTACACAAAGTAATGTAACTATCTTCAATATCTTGAGGTGTACCCTTTTGGCGAGCTTCGAAATCACTTGAGGCTTGACACCAAGTCTCGGGCTCTTCATCACAAACTCATCCTTGAGTTCTTGATGGGTCTGCTGCACACACCTGCGACACGCCGAACGTTCGACACAGGACAAAATAGAAACCGCGCACGACAAAATAGAAACCGCGCGCGAGACACAAACGACCGTGTAACACGCATCTAGCGATAACTCGCTATTGACTCGACACACACACTCGACATCATGACTCAACATTCACACACAATTATAAGCATGAAATATATATTATCCCATGCCCTCATACCATTCCATACACACACACATGCACGCACACGGACAACAAGCCGAGTGCAAACCGTAGGGTTGCACCAACAGGCCTCTCAGTGGAAAGCGGCTATGGACTCAGAGTTGGCGTCTTGGAGATCCACAAGCACCTACGTCGACGCAGTTCCCCCTCCCAGGGCGAACGTAGTCGATGGCATGTGGCTCTTCAAGGTGAAGCGGCCGCCTGGAGCACCGCCGGTGTTCAAGGCGCGCTACGTGGCTAGGGGCTTCAGTCAGCGTGAGGGAGTTGACTTCTTCCAGACCTTCGCCCCGACCCCGAAGATGACTACTCTTCGGGTGTTACTCCACATAGCAGCGCAGCGAGACTACCAGCTGCACTCCCTCGACTTCTCCACTGCGTTCCTCCAGGGCCGACTGCACGAGGAGATCTGGCTGCGCCGTCCTCCTGGCTTCACTGACACCTTCCCACCTGGGACCCAGTGGAGCCTGAGGCAACCAGTCTACGGTCTCCGCCAGTCGCCCCGTGAGTGGCACGACACTCTTCGCTCCACGCTTCGTGACCTTGGGTTCAGCCCGTCCTCCGCCGACCCGTCGCTGTTTGTTCGAGCGGGTTCTACTCCTTTCTTTATCCTTGTCTACGTTGACGACTTGGTGTTTGCTACAGCTGACAGGGCAGCCCTGGCTCAGGTGAAGTCCGAACTGCAGAAGAGACACAAGTGCACTGACCTGGGTGAGCTGCAGCGCTACCTTGGCCTGCAGATCACCCGGGACAGAGCCGCTCGCACCATCACACTGACGCAGTCACACATGGTGCAGCAGGTCCTTCGGCGGTTCGACTTCCAGTTCTCCACCACACAGCCCACTCCTCTTGCTGTTGACCACAGACTCACGGGCCCCTTTCCTGACGAGCCCTTCGAGTCCAGTGGACCCTACGCAGAGCTGGTGGGCTGCCTCATGTACCTGATGACTTGTACTCGACCGGACCTCGCCTTTCCCCTCAGCATCCTTTTTCGCTTTGTTACGACTGGGAGACACCGCCCTGTCCACTGGACAGCTGCTGTGCGGGTGGCGAAGTACCTGGCGACTACATCAGGCATGGGGCTTGTGCTTGGAGGGACTCAGCCAGTGGCGTTGACTGGTCACTGCGACTCTTCCTACGCTGACGACGTGGAGACTCAGCGCTCGACTCAGGGTTACTGCTTCAGTCTGGGAGCTGTTGCTATGTCGTGGAGGTCTACACGGTCGTCGTCTGTGGCTACTTCCAGTGCAGAGGCAGAGATCTACGCTGGTGCCATGGCGGCACAGGAGCTTCGCTCGCCGACCTTGGTGAGCGGCCTCGCTCTGCACCGACCTTGCACGCTGACAACAAGGCCATGATCCTCCTGTGTCGAGAGCCTCGACTGGAGAGCAGAGTGAAGCATATTGACGTGAGGTACTTCCTCCTGCGAGAGCTGCAGCGACGCGGCCAGGCACGCCTGGACTTTGTGGCCTCAGAGGCCAACACTGCAGACGTCTTCACCAAGGCCTTGGCGCTTGGTGATCACCACAGGTTCTGTGTGCAGTTGGGGCTTGTTGAGGTAGGCCCTCGGTTGCTGTAGTCTTGTTGCTTGCTCTACTTGTTGTGCTTCCTATTTATATCCTAGTGAACTCTTGAACTGGCCTTGTGGCCGCTTGCTTGCGCTCGGAATTTGTGTGGTGTCCTTGAGATCCACCCTGAGCTTGCCTTGTTTCTTGCTTTGACTGGTCTTGTGACCGTTTGTTCACCTTGCTTGCTTTGATGCCCCTCACTTAGCCTATGGGGGTGTGTCAAATGTAATTCTATGCTTGTAGGCTACAGTGAGTAGCACAATAGGGAGTACAGTTGTTAGGGTTGCATATTTGTACTTCCACACTTCCTAGTTTCATCATTTCCGTTGCATTCCTATTCTGAGATGGAGATGCGCTGTCCAAAATAAAAGTGGCTCTGATAACCAAGTGTTTCGGGTGCAATGGAACGAGATAGCGAGGATTGCACTAGGTGTCACACGAGTACAAAGTATGAGCGAAGGCATGAGCGAATACTTATACGCGAAACATGCAAACAGTAACGCGGTGCGTGCGAGCTAGCTAGTGCTAGGCTGGCATCGAGGTTTGGGCTAGTCCCGAAGTGTAGGCCGACTCGGCCGGGCTAGCGGTGCATGGTTTGGTGAAACAGTGGGCGTGAAGTTGGCGAAGCCCCGTTAGCAGTAACGGGCGAGCAACGGCTGCTGCTGTATGCGAAGTTGCTGGTCACGGTAAGGAATCTCTTGAAAATTCCATACACCAACCTAAATGAGTGTGTTTCCCCAATTCGCTATGATGCAAACCTCTAAGCGTAACACCACTAATTGACCATCATTTTTTGGATGTTGTATCAAGCTTTGCGCCATATTCGGCGGGTCTCACAAAATGGGCCACGCTGCCACGCCCCCCGGCTTCCCTTCCCTCATCGTGACAGCGGCAGCCGAGTCGCGGTCTGATTGGAGGTTCGGGCCGCGAGGGGCAAGGGAGACGTGCGTTCAATTTCGTGGCTGAGGGAGGGGGGCTGGAGACAGGCGGGGTTGAGGAAGAGCAGCCGCTGCTGGTGCAAAACCGCAGGTCCAATTTCAAAGGACTTGTGCGAGGCTAACCCAAGCACTGGCTATGGGGTGGAATGGAGCGTGCTACAGTCAAGCTCGTCGAGCCGCCCTCCTTCGTGTCGGCCACGGTCTGTCAAGGGCTGGAAGGAAGGGCCCGCCGCAGTCCAGGATTGGTGCGCTGGAAGAAAGTACAGCGCCTGGCCAGCCACAGGCCGTTGCTACCTCGACAACTAAGTTCGATCGCCTCGTCGCTATGGTGGATCGCGGCGTCACATTCATCCGCTCCTTCGCTCTGAATCATAGCAAGCCACCTCTACCTTTCGCGATAGATTTCGATTTATCATTTCAAGCTTGAGATTAACGTAGGACGAAGAACGATGACCCATTCGCTGGCATCATAGGTGCACCTCATCGCGTCACAAAAGCACCTTGGGCATAGTGGACTGTATATAGATCCCCCATGGCGGCGAGAGTAGATCGAAGAGCTGCGACGGTTCGGATCATAGTCGGGCTGACACGAAGGTCCTCGACCTGTCGCGCGAGCCAATGGGCGCGCTGCTGGCTGCTGGCGTGCGCACTCCCGTGGAGCGCCGTGGGGCACGCAGCGGCGCGCAGTGCGGCAGTTCAAGACACATACACCAGCTCGAAACCTCAAGCGACTTCCACAAGCAGCGGCGGTCAAGCAGTTGGATCAACGCCGCAGTCGCGATACTTCCTGCTCCCCAACAACTCGTACGGCGCCAAGTGCCTCGACGGCAGGTACGGCGCCAAGTGCCTCGACGGCAGGTACGGCGCCAAGTGCCTAGACGGCAGGTACGAGGCCTGCGCTGAGAAGCGCGCTGAATGGCCGAGCGAGAGGGGTTCGTAGCAGTTTGTTCGTCGCGCTCTGCTTATCTCGTGGCCCTAGCATATTGCATACTCGAATTATATGCATACGTTTCCCTCGGCGCATTCCCCCGTCCCTCCTCTCACACGGTAGTGCAGCCTCTCTCGCATCCCCGTTAAACGTTGTTCACCCTTCTCATGCCTCTTTGCCCTCCACCCTACGACACCGTACTCCGCCATGAGCATTCATCCAGTGGCGGTGCTCGTCTGAGCCTTTCGTCTGAGCCCCACTTCCTTTTCTGCGTGAAAGGCTCTACCTCACCCTCAACGTCCCCACAACCATCTTTTCTCCTCGGGACGTTCAATGCAGCGCGACTGTACCGATCTAGCTGGCCGCTGCTACCGCTGCTGCCACATCCGCTGCTGGAGCGGCGGGTGGTGCACTGCTTCTCTTACCCTCCCACCCCTTCCCTGCCTCCCTCCCCTCTTTCCTCCCGCCGCTCACCACCCGCGCACAGTCCGCCTGGGTACCAGTACCGGGAGGGCTACGGCGAGGCGAGTGGGTGGTGGCACATCCACCTGCCGGGCGGCGGGTGGTGCGCGTCGCTCGACAAGTGCTTGGCGCGCTCCAAGTCCAAACTCGGCTCCACGCGCGGCCTGCAGAACGGCATGGCCACAGGGAGCCGCAGCAGCAGAAAGGCCAACAACGACAACGGCGACCCCGATGCTGTGAGTTGCTCATGGCGCCTTGTCCTTCCCCGGCCGCGGTCTCCCCCTTCCTCAAACCCCATCATCTCTATCTCCTCTCCCTTCTTCCCCCATCTCCCTTCTCTCCTTTCTCCTACAGTCCAACTCCCCCATGCCTTCCTCCACACCTCCAACAGTCGCATCATCAGACACTGCTGCCAAAACGTCACATCCCTCTCCGCCGGCACATCCCGCCCCGCCGGCACATCCCTCCCCGCCGGCACATCCCGCCCCGCCGGCACATCCCTCTCCGCCGGCACATCCCGCCCCGCCGGCACATCCCGCCCCGCCGGCACATCCCGCCCCATTCCACCGTCGTCACCAGCATACCCACGTTCCGTCATCGCCGCTCACCTCGCTCTCTCCCCCCTGTCCCCCACCACCCACAAAGCACAGCACCACTTTCATCACCCCCGTCCGTTCCATTCCCACCGGTCGTTCGCCCAGCCCCACCACGCACAGCACAGCCTACCCCTCTCCGCCACGATTCGCGCGCTCCCCAGCCGGCACCCTGTGCGGCTGGTGCGCATTCAAAACCCCGACACCTGCTCATTCCCGCCTTCCACCCCTCTCCACCGCTGGCTTCTCACTCACCTCCCAGCCGGCCGCATTCTCTCGTCGGCTTCCCTACCTCCCCACCCCCCCCCCTCAACCCCCCCCCCCCTTCCATGCGTGCAGCCCCCGCGCGGCATAACGAGTGCGGATGCCGCCACGAACCCCACCTTCTACAACTGGCACCTCGTGCGCCCCGTCTACTGTGACGGGGGGGGCTTCGCGGGCCGCGCGGGGTACAAGGCGGCGGGCAACGGCAGCGAGGGCGTTCATATGGACGGCTGGCGAATCATCCACGCCATTCTCAGCGGTGCGTATTCCACGCAATTACATTGCTGCTAAAACATTTTAACATTACTCTCCGTCCCGCACCTCTCCCCACCGTCTCGTCCCCACTCCTCTGCTCTCGCCGCAACCCACCATCCCCTCCCCCCACTGACCATCTCCCCCCCTCTAACCCCCCCTTCCCTCCCACTGACCATCTCCCCCCCTCTAACCCCCCCTTCCCTCCCACTGACCATCTCCCCCCCTCTAACCCCCCCTTCCCTCCCACTGACCATCTCCCCCCCTCTAACCCCCCCTTCCCTCCCACTGACCATCTCCCCCCCTCTAACTCCCCCCTTCCCTCCCACTGACCATCTCCCCCCCTCTAACCCCCCCTTCCCTCCCACTGACCATCTCCCCCCCTCTAACCCCCCCTTCCCTCCCACTGACCATCTCCCCCCCTCTAACCCCCCCTTCCCTCCCACTGACCATCTCCCCCCCTCTAACCCCCCCTTCCCTCCCACTGACCATCTCCCCCCCTCTAACCCCCCCTTCCCTCCCACTGACCATCTCCCCCCCTCTAACCCCCCCTTCCCTCCCACTGACCATCTCCCCCCCTCTAACCCCCCCTTCCCTCCCACTGACCATCTCCCCCCCTCTAACCCCCCCTTCCCTCCCACTGACCATCTCCCCCCCTCTAACCCCCCCTTCCCTCCCACTGACCATCTCCCCCCCTCTAACCCCCCCCTTCCCTCCCACTGACCATCTCCCCCCCTCTAACCCCCCCTTCCCTCCCACTGACCATCTCCCCCCCTCTAACCCCCCCTTCCCTCCCACTGACCATCTCCCCCCCTCTAACCCCCCCTTCCCTCCCACTGACCATCTCCCCCCCTCTAACCCCCCCTTCCCTCCCACTGACCATCTCCCCCCCTCTAACCCCCCCTTCCCTCCCACTGACCATCTCCCCCCCTCTAACCCCCCCTTCCCTCCCACTGACCATCTCCCCCCCTCTAACCCCCCCTTCCCTCCCACTGACCATCTCCCCCCCTCTAACCCCCCCTTCCCTCCCACTGACCATCTCCCCCCCTCTAACCCCCCCTTCCCTCCCACTGACCATCTCCCCCCCTCTAACCCCCCCTTCCCTCCCACTGACCATCTCCCCCCCTCTAACCCCCCCTTCCCTCCCACTGACCATCTCCCCCCCTCTAACCCCCCCTTCCCTCCCACTGACCATCTCCCCCCCTCTTACCCACCTTTCCCCCTGTCCAGACCTGCGCGCGAGCAGGGGCATGAAGGCGCCGGCGCGCATTCTGCTGTCGGGCAGCTCGGCGGGAGGGCAGGCGGTGGTGACGCTGTGCGACCTGCTGCCGCTGCTCTTCCCGCGCGCGCTCGTCAAGTGCATCATGGACGCGGGGCTCTTCGTCGGTGAGCGCCGGGGATGGTATTGGTGGAGGGGGGGGGGGGGTTGTATGGGTGCGAGCAATTGGGGCTGTTAGCGCGAGAGAGCTCGAGCAATTACGTATAAACTCCGCGCGCGCGTCAAGTGCATCATGGGTGCGGGGCTCTCCATGGGTGAGCGCGGCTCTTCGTGAGTGGGAGCAAGTAAGGCTGTCCGCGAGAGCACGACAATCAAGTATGGATTCCAGGAATCCAATGGTAGAGCTGATTCGAGTGAGCATTGATTCGCTGGGTCCTGCTGGTCGCACCAACACAATGAACTGCAAACAGCCCCACCTCACCTGCCCACCCATCCCCACGCCCATTCCCTCGCCCACCCCCTCGCCCACCCTCCTGCCCGCCCTCCTGCCCGCCCTCCTGCCCGCCCTCCTGCCCGCCCTCCTGTCCGTCAGACGCGGAGGACCGCACAAAGCGGCGAGCGTTTGCAGGCATGGTGAAGGCCACGGTGGCGCTGCACAACATGCGAGTCAACTGGCGCTGCAGTCAAAGTGAGTCAACTGGCGCTGCAGTCAAAGTGAGTCAACTGGCGCTGCAGTCAAAGTGAGTCAACTGGCGCTGCAGTCAAAGTGAGTCAACTGGCGCTGCAGTCAAAGTGAGTCAACTGGCGCTGCAGTCAAAGTGAGTCAACTGGCGCTGCAGTCAGAGTGAGTCAACTGGCGCTGCAGTCAGAGTGAGTCAACTGGCGCTGCAGTCAGAGTGAGTCAACTGGCGCTGCAGTCAGAGTGAGTCAACTGGCGCTGCAGTCAGAGTGAGTCAACTGGCGCTGCAGTCAGAGTGAGTCAACTGGCGCTGCAGTCAGAGTGAGTCAACTGGCGCTGCAGTCAGAGTGGGTCAACTGGCGCTGCAGTCAGAGTGGGTCAACTGGCGCTGCAGTCAGAGTGGGTCAACTGGCGCTGCAGTCAGAGTGGGTCAACTGGCGCTGCAGTCAGAGTGGGTCAACTGGCGCTGCAGTCAGAGTGGGTCAACTGGCGCTGCAGACAGAGTGGGTCAACTGGCGCTGCAGTCAGAGTGGGTCAACTGGCGCTGCAGTCAGAGTGGGTCAACTGGCGCTGCAGTCAGAGTGGGTCAACTGGCGCTGCAGTCAGAGTGAGTCAACTGGCGCTGCAGTCAGAGTGAGTCAACTGGCGCTGCAGTCAGAGTGAGTCAACTGGCGCTGCAGTCAGAGTGAGTCAACTGGCGCTGCAGTCAGAGTGAGTCAACTGGCGCTGCAGTCAGAGTGAGTCAACTGGCGCTGCAGTCAGAGTGAGTCAACTGGCGCTGCAGTCAGAGTGAGTCAACTGGCGCTGCAGTCAGAGTGAGTCAACTGGCGCTGCAGTCAGAGTGAGTCAACTGGCGCTGCAGTCAGAGTGAGTCAACTGGCGCTGCAGTCAGAGTGAGTCAACTGGCGCTGCAGTCAGAGTGAGTCAACTGGCGCTGCAGTCAGAGTGGGTCAACTGGCGCTGCAGTCAGAGTGGGTCAACTGGCGCTGCAGTCAGAGTGGGTCAACTGGCGCTGCAGTCAGAGTGGGTCAACTGGCGCTGCAGTCAGAGTGGGTCAACTGGCGCTGCAGTCAGAGTGGGTCAACTGGCGCTGCAGTCAGAGTGAGTCAACTGGCGCTGCAGTCAGAGTCAACTGGCGCTGCAGTCAGAGTGAGTCAACTGGCGCTGCAGTCAGAGTGAGTCAACTGGCGCTGCAGTCAGAGTGAGTCAACTGGCGCTGCAGTCAGAGTGAGTCAACTGGCGCTGCAGTCAGAGTGGGTCAACTGGCGCTGCAGTCAGAGTGAGTCAACTGGCGCTGCAGTCATCGGGCCATGATGTTTAGCCAATGGTGTTGGGGCAATGGTGTTGCATTCTCGCCCCCTCCCCTCCCATTTTTCCTCTCCCTACCCCTACTTCTTCCCCTTTCACGCTCTCATACATCGCAACCGCCAACCCTCACACTGCTTCCATCCCCCCTCCCACTCCCCCCACCCCACCGTTCACACAGCCATGTCCCCCGCCAACCAGTGGCAGTGCTTCTTCCCGCACCAAGCGTTACGCTTTGTGTCATCCCCAGTGCTGGCGGTGAACTCTCTCTTTGACTACCCGCCAGGCGGCTGCTTCTATCCCGCCAACCCACTCACTGCTCCCACCTCCTTCCAACTCCCTTCGTACAGCCATGTCCCCCGCCAACCAGTGGCAGTGCTTCTTCCCGCACCAAGCGTTACGCTTTGTGTCATCCCCAGTGCTGGCGGTGAACTCTCTCTTTGACTACCCGCCAGGCGGCTGCTTCTATCCCGCCAACCCACTCACTGCTCCCACCTCCTTCCAACTCCCTTCGTGCAGCCATGTCGCCAGTCAACCAGTGGCGCTGCTTCTTCCCGCACCAAGCGTTACGCTTTGTGTCATCCCCAGTGCTGGCGGTGAACTCTCTCTTTGACTACCCGCCAGGCGGCTGCTTCTATCCCGCCAACCCACTCACTGCTCCCACCTCCTCCCAACTCCCTTCGTGCAGCCATGTCGCCAGTCAACCAGTGGCGCTGCTTCTTCCCGCACCAAGCGTTACGCTTTGTGTCATCCCCAGTGCTGGCGGTGAACTCTCTCTTTGACTACTCGCCAGGCGGCTGCTTCTATCCCGCCAACCCACTCACTGCTCCCACCTCCTTCCAACTCCCTTCGTGCAGCCATGTCGCCAGTCAACCAGTGGCGCTGCTTCTTCCCGCACCAAGCGTTACGCTTTGTGTCATCCCCAGTGCTGGCGGTGAACTCTCTCTTTGACTACCCGCCAGGCGGCTGCTTCTATCCCGCCAACCCACTCACTGCTCCCACCTCCTCCCAACTCCCTTCGTGCAGCCATGTCACCAGTCAACCAGTGGCGCTGCTTCTTCCCGCACCAAGCGTTACGCTTCGTGTCGTCGCCCGTGCTGGCAGTGAACTCGCTCTTTGACTACCGCGCGCTCATGCTGGGCAACCAGCTGCCCGCCAACCAGGCCCAGGCCACTGCCTGCCTGCGCCAGATCGCCAAGGAGGGCGGCACCGACCTGCTCAGGCTCGTCACCAGCCAGTCCTGGCGCCACGACCCGTCCGCACTGGCGGAGATTCAGTCAGGAGGGACGTTGTTTCCTGGAGGTGATTATAAGGGGGGGAGTTTGGAAATTGGGTTGACGAGTACAGTGGAGGAAGGGGACAGTCCTGGGAACGGGAAGGGTGGGAAGAGGAAAGGAAAGGGGGGTGGTGGAGGAGCAGGGAAGGGGAGAAGGGTGAGGGGGTCAGCAGGTGCAGCAGCGGCTGAAGCGCCTGTGTGCGCGCCCGAGGAGCACAAGGCGGTGCTGAATGTGGCGTGGCAGATGATTCAATACACGGATGCTGCTTCCCTGGAGCTCGGACCCACCGTTAGCACGTTTGTCACGCCTGCAATCGCGCACTGCGCACTAACCAGCCCAAAATGGGACTCATTGATGGACAAGGGCGTTACACTTAGAGATGCTGTCACAACATGGTATAAACGGCCTCTTTGATCATTGTTGGTCTAAAAATGAATCAGATATGCAGTTACAGCTGTAAGCGATTTCATATCCTTACTGGGACTGTACTAACTCCTAAACCCTGAGGTTGCCTAGTTTGACATCTGAGACTCCCTCACACTTCACACAATAGTTTATTACAAATTGTGAAGTTTAAAAGACCGTGGTCTGAGAAGGGAACGGATGAAGGGTTGACGGAAGAATCTACGGAAGCAAAGGGCTGGGTCGGGGAAAGAAAATGGGTAGGAAATTATGTTTACGTACAAGGAGAGCACTAGATTCAGAAAATTGAAGGGCAGGGGGGAGGGGAAGGGAAGGGAATAGAAGGGAGGGGAAGGTAAGGTAAGGGATAGTAAGGGGATGAAAGAGAAGGAAAGAGAATGCAAGGATGAGAAGGGCAGGGTGACGTGATGAAGGGAAGGAAAAAGGACGGATTTCGAGAAGGGACGGACAGTGGACGGCTGGTGGCAAGGAAATATGACGAGAGGGGAGGCGCGACGATGGGAGGGGAGGCGCGACGATGGGCGGGGAGGCGCGACGATGGGCGGGGAGGCGCGATGATGGGCGGGGAGGCGCGACGAGGAGAGGCACGAGGAGACCACAACGAGGGGACGGGACGGGACAAGGGGAGGCGCGACGACGGGGGAACCGACGAGGGGAGGCGACGAGTGTGTGTGCACGCTTCGGGAAATTCGGAATGATAACCTTCTCAAGTCTGATTTCTACGAAAGGTTGGCCTTCCACGCTTGTGTCACTCTCCACGTCCCTGCACAAAAATTCACGTGCAGCTCGCCAACCCTCTCTGCTCGTCGTTAGGTTCGCGCATGCGAAATGGTTTCGCAGAGTCGAAATGACACTCCCGTTTGCAAACGTATACGCCGGCGAAAAATGGGCGATTTGCTCCGAGGAGAACTGCTGATGCAGTTGCTTCACCTTGCCTTACATGTTTGGAGCAGGTCTTGCGGCAGTTGTTCACTTAGGGAGTGTCCAGCTCGTTCATTTACTGTTCGTAAAGCCCTTCAGTTACCAGATTTTGCGTTGTAACACTGAATTTTACAAAAAAAAATGACAGACACGATCAGCTCCCGTTCACGATACGGCACACCCCCTGCACGTACCTCGAATCGTGTGACGCACGTTACAGAAATCAGCGTGCGCATCGAACAATGGTACAGAGCCGCGTCCTGCCCACTACAGTGAGTGCCCATCGTATCGCGCGCTCGATTTCGCCAGTGCAGCCTGACACTAGCCAAAACCAGTAGTGGAAGTTTTGGCTTCGCGAAGATTCCAATGCTTTGGCTGACGAGGGAACCGGTTACCTCGTTTCAACACGACCCCTGCACTGTTGAAGTCTGTGTGGGGGGAATGTGTCCGCGCGCTAGAAATGACAAAAAGGTTGGACTCGACGCAGGTAGTATTGGTTTATAGGTACAGTGATCAGTTTTGAACCCCGGATCGTGAGGAGGTATTAAATTTCCCGAAATGAACGAGCTGGACACGCCCTTACGGTCGAGCATGTGCCACCTTTGACCATTTTTGGACGAAAGCAGCGGTTGACGCAACCACTTCCTGTCCCTTCACGCCAGGTCATGTTCATTGGGTTATAGTTCATTTAAAAGGTTCATTCTGGTACACAGTGGTGTAAAGAGGTGTAAGTTAAGAACCACTCTGAAACGTGGTTGACCGTATCAAAACCGCGTCAAGCGAAACATGACGTAAGGGGAGTGATCCGGGAAAATCCTTGCAACGGAGTGGCCCGATGTGGGGACCACCTTGCGTGGCAGTGGTAGAAGCACTCTCGAGGCGCGAGTCTTCCCAGGCACCGACGAAGCGCTGTGCGTGCGGTACTGCGTTCTTGATGGGACCACCTTACCCAATCCAAGAATGCCAGCAGAGCGAGCGCCGGTAACGAAGCCCAATCAAGCACACGGCTTGCCTCGATAATTGCTCGAGCGCGATGACAGCCCCATCCGCCAGGTTTGCTGGCCCACACGCGGCACGCCGCGTCCCCGGTGTTACATTCCCGCCTGTCACTCGCCCATCGATTCCGTTGCTCGACAATTTTCTGCTGCGCGCCGCGTCATGAGGCAGCCCCAAGACGACCCTCGCCGGCGGGTGCAGTCAAACCCATCACATGGCATCATGGGACCCTCGGAGCCAGCAGCCACGGGCTCGAAGCTCCAGTCAAAATCGAGTGGAGCGCGCGACACTCGTTGCTCACGAGGACTCACCGGCTCTGTCGTCGGCTCGAGTTCTGCTACTAGCCAGTGGTCCTCGCAACCCCGCACGCAACGTCCATGGCGCCGCGACTTCCGGTCGAGAATGGCTCCGTGCACCATCCGCACGCTGAAAGCAGAGGACAGCTTTCCGCCTCGGCGGGAAGCGACGGCGGTAAGGCGGAACAGTCGCCGCCGTCGCCAGCGACGAAAGGGGTCGACGGCGACGCAGCGGCGCTGTCGCCGGCGCTAGTAGCGAGTGGAGACGAGGGCAAGGCGACGGCGCTGTCGCGGCACTCGGCGGCGGACTGGGTGGCGATGGTGCTGTGGATGGGGTGGCTGCACATCCTGCTCGCGCTGCTGCTGCTCATCGCGCTCACCTTCCCGCACCCCCTCGCCATCGCGCTGCTGCTGCTCCTCGCCACGCTCGCCGTCGCGCCCGTCGACGTCGAGGGGCCCCTCGCCCAGGCCTACCGCAGGTCCGTCTCCCCTCCGCTCGTTCTCCGTTCGCTTCCTCTTTCGCTCGACAACTTCCCCTTACTTCGCCAATGGCCGCCTGCTTCTTCCTCCGCTTCGAAGACCCACAGAAGGTTGAAGCTGTGTCCGCGTCAACTCCATGTGAACTCGGTCAAAACCGATTAGGGTTCACTTGAAGGCAAGCCTCTCGAGGGCGCGTCCCATCTGCCCCGCGCTACCTGCTCACCCGCCATCCCGTTTCCCTTCCTCCTCGCTGCGGGCCGCCATCTGCCGGCTCTCACTCATTACCGGCTTGAATTGCACACCTTGATATCTCGCTCTTTTCCCTTGCTGCGTGGTGGTTGTGTGTGTGTCTTGCCTCGCCCCTCGCCCCTCGCCCCCTCGCCCCCATCAGGTTCATCTACCCAGTGGTGCTGCGCCACTTCCTCGTGCGCCTGCTCTTCCATGACCGCAGCATTACCGTCACCTTGTGATGTGTGTGTTCCTTCCCTTGTGCCTCATGCCTCGCCTCCATGTGTCTTGTCTCTCGCCCCTCGCCCCCTCGCCCCCTTGCAGGTTCATCTACCCAGTGGTGCTGCGCCACTTCCCCGTGCGCCTGCTCTTCCATGACCGGAGCGCCGTCACCTTCGGCGAGCCCTACGGTGCGATGCCAGCAACTTGGGGGGGAGGGGAGCAGGAGTGGGGCGTGTTGGCCAGTGCACGGGTGGTGTGTGGGTGCCTGGTGTTCGTGGGGTGGTGAATGGATAGGTGTGCACATGCCACTCTCGCTTGTGCCCGTGCTCGTGCCCATGTGCATGTGCGTGTGTTGAGGTGAATGTTTATGTGTCGTCAAGTAAAAGAAAGCTCTCAGGGAGGAGGCCTGCAGCACAAGTGGAGGAAAGAGGATGGGAGCCAAGGGTGTGCGGTCAGCATGTGCCGTTCTTACCCACTCCTTTGCTATCCCGCCTCTCTCTCCCCTTTTTCCTTTCCTTTCCCCCTTCCCCCTCCCCCCTTCCCCCTTCCCGCTTCTCTTCCCCGCTTCTCCTCCCCCCACCTTTCCCCCACCCTGGGTCATGGCAGTGATAGCAGTGGAGCCGCATTCGGTGCTGCCGGTGGGGCTGGGCGCGTTCATGTGCCATCCGCTGGCAGCGGGGGGGGTGGCGGGCGCCACGAGTGCCATCTTCCGCGTGCCGCTGCTGCGCCAGTGCTGGCAGTGGGCGCGCCTCGCCCCCGCCACCAGGCCTGTGCTGTCCTCTGTGCTGCAGCGCGGCCGCCCCGTCATCATCGTGCCGGGCGGCGTGCAGGAGTGCCTCTTCATGGCGCCCGGCAAGGAGGTGCGGGGGAATGCGGTGGGGCGGGATGGGGTTTGGTGTGGGGGGATGGGATGTGGGTGGGGGGATGGGGTGTGGGGGGTTGGGGTGTGAAGTTTTGGGATGTGGAGGGATGGTGCGTGTGAATGGGTATGCGGGGAAGAAAGTGGCGCGGTGATGCTCGTTCGTCTCGCTGTGTCATCCACAATCAACACGCCCTATAGCTTTCTTTCCCCACCCCTCGTATCCCCACCTCGCTTCTTCCCTTCCACGATTGCAAACCCTTTCCCACCCTCCTCTCCCTTTCCTTCTCATTCCTTCTTCCTTCTTACCTCCAACTCCGCTTCCCGCTTCCTCGTACCGTCATTACCGCTTTACTTCACATCCTTCTGTCGCCCTTGTCTTCAAATTTCCTTCCCCACGCCCTCACGCCCCTCTTCCCTCCTTCCCCTGCCCATTATCTGCTCCCTTCCCCACCACCCCCCAGGTGGTGTTTGTCCGCCAGCGCTTTGGCTTCATCCGCCTGGCGCTGCAGCACGGCGTGCCCCTGCTGCCCTGCTTCGCCTTTGGCCAGGTGCACAGCGCAGGGCGGTTACGGGACAGGGGGCAGGGGCGGGGGGCGAGGGCGACGGTGTGGGGGGGAACGGGGGGCAGGGGGCAGGGGGCAGGGAGCGGGGGCGAGTAGCGTGGGGCAGTGGGCAGTGGGCTTTGTTCCTCTGCGTTGGAGCAAACGCTCTCTCATCCACACTCCGCCTTTCTCATTCCTCGCTGCTCGCCTCGCCTCGCCTCTGCCCTGCCAGAGCAAGCTTGTTGTCTGCTCCACTCATTCTCCTCTTTCCATCCCTATCCTCCTTCTTGGCTTCCACAATTCGCCCCTTCTCGTCCGTGCCTCGCCCTGCACTCACGCACCCGACCACACCCCGCCACGCTGCACAGCACTCCAACCTCGCCTCTCCTCCATCCCCTCATGGCTCCCCTTCCTCCATCCCACTCCCCCCCACCCTCCTCTTCTCTCTCTCCGTTCCTCCCCTCATGGCCCCCACTCGCCTCGCCTCGACCCTGCCAAGCTTGTTCTCCTCTCTTTCTCCTCTTTCCATCCCGTTCCCCCTCTTGCCATGGTGCCATGGTGTATGCACACGCACCTCTATTCTCACTTCCCTCATCTTTCCTCCAGCCCCTCATGCTCCACGTCCTCCCCACCTCCTTCATCCCCCTTCCCCCCCTTCTCCCTTTAGTTGACTCAAAACTCACCTTCCTCCCCCCCACCCCCCCGTCAGACCAGTGCGTACCGCTGGTGGAGGCCAGAGGGGGCATGGTACCGGTGGGTGGCGCGGAGAATAGGGTTCGCGCCGATCGTCTTCTGGGGCATGTGGGGGTCGCCCATCCCCTTCCGCACGCCCCTCACCATCGCCATCGGCACTCCCATCGGCCAGGGTGACCCTGAACCCAACCCCTCAAAAGAAAGGGTATGTTGAACGCGTGTCAGGCACGGTGCTGAAGTGGAAATGGTGAAGTGGAAATGGTGAAGTGGAAATGGTGAAGTGGAAATGGTGAAGTGGAAATGGTGAGGTGGAAATGGTGAGGTGGCTGTGAGTGTGAGAAATGTGTTGTGCGGATGATGTAAAGCGAGCGCTGTTGGTGTGGGCAGGTGTACCACCAGGGGGTCCATTCATTGGCGCTTCAAAGTAGTTGTCGAGCTGTGTCTTGTGTATTCACCGCAGCCCTCCGTTGCACTCCATGCACGCCTGCATGGGTGCATGTGTTTCACTTCTCCTCATCCTCTGTGACGTGCCACTGCCATGCACCCATCCATTCCATGCCATCCCGTGCAATGTCCCTCGTATGCCATCGCCATGCCATGCCCCCACTGCCTGCAATCCCATGCTGTGCCGGCCCCCCCACACAGGTGGCAGGCAGCAGAGCACGCAGGTGGCAGGAAGCAGAGCACGCAGAGTACTTCACTGCCTTCATGTCCGCTCGCTAACTCACCTTTATGTACCCTCCGATCCCATGCCATGCAATGCCACGCCACCCCCCCTTGCCAGGTGGCAGCGGTGCATGCAGAGTATGTGAGGGCGTTGGAGCGCCTCTTCCTCCACCACCGCGCCCACGCGGGCTACCCCACCACGCACCTCGAGATCATGTGATGCCCACGCCATGCCATGCCACGCCCCACGGCTGCTGTGCAGGCCGCCAGGGGGTATGGGCAGTGTGCTCAGGCTGGCCAGGGCACACAGGCATGTATGGGTGCCTCACTGCACTCATGATCTCCCGAGACAGCTATACATGCCTGTGTGCACGTGCTCCTGTCAAACACCATCTGCTGCACTGCTCCCTCCCGTGGACACTCCGTCCACACGGCCAAGAGCAGCCACTGCTGCCCCTTGCACGCCTGCTTGCTTGCGCCAGCCTTCCATACATGGCTCACACAGCCACAAAGGCATGCAATGAGAGCAGGAAATTTGATTTGGGAAGGGCTAACCAGTGCGTAGTTGATTATGCTTGCCTAGGTGTGTAAATAAGTTAGCCATGTGGGGTTACCGTAACTGACAGTGTGCTTGCCTGCGACCCAGCCCAGCCCATGGCCAAGCGATGGTTGGCATAACACATTGTTGCTGCCCTGAAATGAGCCGCCACGTCATCACTGCACTGCCTTTCAGTTGTGTGCGCCCGAAAACTCCCAATTCACCAGTTGCATCAGATTAGATACTGCAAAAGGACATGGTTGATTGGGGCCAGTTCATGCCATGCCATCCTTGTTTCATCCTTGTGTCAACCGAGCGGCATTGTCCACTTGGAGTGTCAGGACAGGACAGGGTTCATTATTCGAGATACCAGGTACCGTATGGCCCCGGATATAGGCGCCGTCCGATTAAAGGCGCCGGCGCTTCTATCTGGAGCATGGCGCCTATGGCCGGAATTCGATTATAAGCGCCCCCCCTAGAAAACCTTTACTTATTATAAGCGCATATGCGATTTGAATTTAAATTCTTGCCTAAAACAGTAACGAAATCCATTTTTGCAGCGAGTCAGATTTCAATTTCGCTTCGTTTGACTCGCGAAGACCTGACTGGCTGCGCGTCCAGTCAGGATGTGCTGGAATGACGTGGCTTTGCCTGTGTGTGAACCCAGAATATCGCTTGTGCGAGATTCTGCATTGTGACGATAAAACATTTCGACTCGGTTGAAATGGCAGGAAGAAAGTGAACAATTTGGTGCTCTAAAAATATAATTTCGTATTTGTCATTATATAAGCGCCGGCGCTTATGGCCGTTACTCAATTACAAGCGCCCCCCCTCAAAAAAATGATTTTATTATAAGCGCATATGCGCCTATATCCGGGGCCATACGGTAACCCTGTTTAGCCCCATACCATATCCCTCCATGGCTGCATTATGGGTAATAGCTATGGCAGTGTGGAGAAGCAACAAGTCACACGAAGCACTGTTGGAAACAAGTGATTTTAAGCGCTTTTGCTGTGTCAAAACATCAAGTCGTAAACGAAGCGAAGCACTAACGAAACATCTGCGAGTCAACCATCGGAGGTTGACAACTGAAGCAACCGCTGGAGGTTACCGTAAGCCCCCGGATAGAAGCGCAGGCCTCGGATAAGCGCCGGCGCTTATAAAAGGATGACGGCGCTTATATCCGGTCCTCGATTATAAGCCCACCCCCTGAAATAAGATGATTTATTATAAGCGCATATTGGTTTTTCATTTGAAAACCTGTCGAAATACAGAAACGAGGACCACAATATCAGGGAAACGAACTACAATTTCGATTTCCCACACTCTGATCTCACTTTTTGCGCGTCTAGTCAGCATGTGCTGTCATTCTGTCAGTATGAGTTGGCAGGGAATCACTCACAGCCAAGCTGCGCGAGAATCAGATTCGACTCGATTACAATCGGCAAAATGGGATCTACAGTTTGGTGTAAAACAAATAGAAATCCATTTTTGCCATTTTATAAACGCCGGCGCTTATAAATTTCTTCAATTATAAGCGCACCCCCTAAAAAAGAGTGTTTTTTTATATCCCCAGGGACGCTTCTATCCGGGGGCTGACGGTACGCGAAGGTCAAAGGTCAGCAACCTTTGACTTGGCAAATACAGCGCGACAGCAAGGACAAACAGCTGACTCGATACAAAGCAGTTGCCCGAGTCGTCACTGTATCGAGCCGCAACAGCAACAGTAAAACAGTTGTTAGCTTTATCTCTTCATATTCCTTGTATTCTTATAAAACCTTGTATTTTCTTGTTTAATCAATCTACTTTGCCCTCACATACCAGCGCAAGGTGGTTCACAGACTTATCATTAAACGCTTCCGCTATTACATTGTTCCTACTTAGAGTTTAGTCACGCAAAGATCCTAAGGGCTTTTTCTCAGCCCAACATGGTATGAGAGCTATCAGGGTAAACTCAACCACTATCAAGACACCTACAACATCAGAAGACATGGCAACACAGAAGGAGAGGAGTTCCTCTAACGGTTCTCCTGGCACTACTCCTACTCCACCTCCTGCCTCTGGCCTACAGATAGAGGAGGACGCGGCAACAAGACCAGCAGCTGGTGTCAGATTACAATTGTATCTCTAGGCTACAGTAGGGTCACTCCTTAGTGAGTACAACACTTTAGGGTTAGGTTTCCCCTACTTGTACTCACCTCTTGCCTAGTTCAATCCATCATTCCTAGTTCTATTCTTGACAGTTGGGTCCACCGAAACTCCCGCAAATCAAGCCGCGGGCTTTGACCCAAGCATGATGGAGAAGTTCTTCTCATTTATGTCCTTCTACGAACAACACCAACAAGGGGCATCTGCGCAGTCAAACAACAGCAACAACAATAACGATGTGACACCGATGAGCCTCGACGGTTCATCCTACGCACGAGGAAATCAGCAACAACAACCTACCTTCGCCCCGTACGAACCCCAGCGCGGTTCCGTCAGTTTCATGCCGCGCCAGTAGCCTTCACCTGAGCAAGAGAAGATATTGGATGCACTTCAAGTTCAGTTGCAGTTTGCGCACGTCTTAAAACTGCAGACATCAAGACCGTTCGACGGAAAAGACTTCTTTACCTGGTCGTTCGAATTCGAGCTAATGATGGAAGGCACGCAAATCCTTGGATTCTTTGACGGGTCCCTGCCATACCCAACACACGGGACGTAATATGACAAGCAACAGTACACATATCAGTCCATGATGGCGTACACAATTCTACTGCGCAACGTCACACCGAACCAGCAGCAGAACATCCGGTCTTATCGGGGATACGGCAACTCCGCCGAGCTCGCGTACAACCACTTGAAGAATCTGTACCAGGCAATAGACAGCGCCAATCAGAGTCGATTAATGGCACAACTGACAACAGTGGAAATGAAACCGGGCGAAAAGGGAATGGCGTATATCAGTCGCTGTCGCGAATTGCGCGATAAACTCCTTCAATGTGGAGGGTCGATATCGGAAGACGCCTTCGTCACAGTTGTAATTGGCGGTCTTGGTCCTCACTGGCGCTCCACTTGCGCCATACTCCGAGCTCACGGGAAGATCTTCGAAGCAGCACTCTGCGCCGAAATTCACGCTGAGCAGCAAGACATGGACCTGCAAGAGGAGCGGCACAAGAAGAAAACGTCAGTACCCGAATTTGCGTTCCACACTCAACGGCGCTACAACAACAACAACAGCTGGCACCAACCAAAACCCGTACCTCCATTCTGTCATATTTGCAAAATATCAGGGCACCCTCGCACACACTGCCCGAATCGACAGCAGTCAACTCCGCCGCAGCGCCAACTTCGTCCTTCAAGTAGCCAAGTGGCGTCCACACAGGCGCACCCCACAAGCCAGCCGCAGTCTTCAACAGTATCGCCAACACAATCTGCACAAGGAGCAAGAAACATCGTCAGCTGCATGGCAAGATTGACTGACTCCTGCATCACCGAGTCACCACCGCACTACTCACCGGAAGAGCAACTTGACAACAGTACCCCTCGCCGCGAGTCACTTCAACCAAACCCGACGTATGCAGCCATCGCTCAAAGCGAGCCGTCCGGGAAAGACACCTGGTTCTTGGACAGTTGCTGCGGACAACATATGTGCTCCTCGGGTCGCTTCGTCCAACGAGAACATCAACTCCAACGCGAGGTCGCCATCACCGTCGCCAACAACCAGAACCTGCGCACAAGAAGACAAGGCGTAGTTCAACTTCAGTCACGAGAGACAAACGTTATACTGCAGATGTCAAAGGTCTTAATCGCGGAGGGACTCGGCTACAACTTACTCAGTGTTAGTCAGCTGATGGCAAAGGGCATTCACCTCGAAGCAGATAGCACCGCCCAAGAATTCAAGCTGTACCATGGGAGAGGCGGACTTTACATCGGGAAGGCGGTCCTGAAGAATAACGTCTTCGTCCTCGACTTCGTTCCAGATTTAGGCACCGTCGACAGCGACGGAATCGTCACCTTCACCTCCTGGACGCACCCACCGGATCTTGATCCAAACTTCAGCCCCGAAGGCTTCTGGTATTCGCACACTATTCCTGAGGCAGAACGAACAAGAGCATTAGCAACGATTCAACACTCGGCAGCAGCAGAGACAACATCGGCAGCAGCAGAGACAACATCGGCAGCAGCAGAAACAACATCGGCAGCAGCAGAGACAACATCGGCAGCAGCAGAGACAACACCAGCAGTAGCAGAGATAACATCGGCAGCAGCAGAGACAACATCGGCACCAATCGCTGGCCCTTCAACGGCACCGGTCCTCGTCGACAACACACCACCGACTCCTGCGCAGCAGCTGAATCCAACTCCACGAGAAGTCCATCGAAGCGCAAATCTCACCACCAATTTTTACTCCAACTCCGACCTGTACAGACGCTCACCCGGACATCGCGCCGACGAAGATCTCTGGCATAAACGAATGGGACACCCGAGCAACATGACGTTAAACAATACGATACGAGCAGGCGTCCTTGATAAAGACTCACTACTCTTACCCGACGGCAGAGAACTTCGACGAATGCGAGGAACTTGCTTCACCTGCCCAGAAGCAGACTTACCGCATCAGCCCTTCGTCTCTCACCACAACCCAAGTGCACCGGTGTACGCACCTTTGGAGAAGGTCTACAGCGATATCCTGTACAATC